AAGTCCATCTGGTGCGCCGTCCCCGCCCTGGACGTGGAGAAGAGCGGCAAGGTCTCCAAATCCCAGCTCAAGGTGAGTCGCCGGCCGGCTGCGGGGGCTCGCGGGGCTGGGGGGTGGGCTGCGAGGGGCAGAGCGGGGGCCAGGGATGCTTCGAGTCCCCCCCACCCCACCCCGGGTTTCCATGGAGGAATTGGTAAATATTAAGATTAATAAACCCTCGCTGTCACCTGCATGGTGGTTTTGGTGAAATTCTCCAGCTCTGCCTCATCTCCCTTTAAAAAAAAAGGGAGGGGGAGGGTTAATGCCCAAATGTATTTCTAGGAGAAAACGAGGAGGAATCTGATTTTTGGTTGTTTTCAGCTTCTTGTGCTTTTTGCACCCAGTTCACAGCCCAAATTCAGTTTATGTTTTCTTGCTTGCCGGAGCCCCCGCGTTTCTGCTTCCTGTTCAGCCAGCGGGTGGGTAGGTAGAGACAGAACATTTTTACACTAAAACTCCTCGGTGGCCTGGCCAAAAATAACACAGCACTTTAAAAAAATCTCTCCTTTCCTCTCTCCCTTTCCTCTGAACAGCTTTGCAGAGGGTTCCTGCATTCAGCCCTTCGCCAAAGCCATCATGGCTTTAAAAACCTTTTTATCTGCCTCTGGGACGGGGTCTGGTTGGACCCACCGAGTTGCACCTCAGCTTTGATAGTAATTATTGATTTAGTGGGTCTTTTTTCCCTTTGCAAATGATGGGACTCCTTTTTTTGTTGCCACATAAATGCCCCGTTGTGGTTCTTAGGCTGGCGCCGGGGTTGGAAATGTCAGTTGGAGCAGGGGGCTGTGATGCAGAGGAGAGACCTGAGCTAAAAACATGCAAACCACGGGGAGCTGTTGCATCAGGACTCGGCAACTGCTGCCGGGCTGTGAGATGGGTTGTGAAACACTCCAAAGAAGCCTCCTTTCCTCTCTTCCTTCTGCTTTAGAGGGATTCCCCCGGGACAGGCTGCAGGGAAGGTTCTGGGCTTGGCATAGGGTGCACGTTTTGGTCCAGAAGTGAAGAGTTTTGTTTGCAGGGCTCTGGAGGGGAAGCAGTGGGAGCTCTGCTCAGTCCTTGCCTTTGCAGCCTCCCCCAGAAACTCGCTGCACGTCTGCCCTGCGAGCCCCGCTCCTTAAAACTGTAGAAATACTTGGAGGAATTAAGGAAAATCCCAAAGCAGGCCAGAGCCTAATTCCCCTCGCTAATCCCCAGGAAGATGCCGTGCTCCCCTCACAGCATCCCCTGCCCCCAGGCTCTGGGTCCTGAGCCCCAGAGGGGTGAGCTGCCAGCACCAGGGGGGTGAGCTGCCAGCCCGAAGGCGCCGGGGCGGACACGTGCAGCGCTCCTGCGAGATCCCTCTCACCAGCAACGGTGCTGAGGCCACAGAGACCCTCACTGTATTTCCTCGAGAGCGTGGGCACAGGGAGCTGCAAACCTCAAGCAGGGGCTGCGAGGATGCTGGGGATGGTGGCTTCTCGGTGGCTTTGCCCGGGGTGACATTTTGGAGGGGGAGGGATATTCACCCCTCGCTGGGTTTCCACCCATCGGGGCGGCCGCCGGTCGGGCTGAGCCGTTGCACAACGAAGCTCAGCTCCGGATAACTTCCCACCCACCTGGAGGCCAGGGAGAACTTGTTTCCATCACCCATTGTGGCCAAACACTGGCTCAGGTTTGCCCCAGCCTACACAAGCCAACAGTGGCGTTTTGGCTCGTTCAGCACAGAAGAAATCCAGGGCCTCTGGTTTGAGCCGCGGTGGCCGTGCCCTCTCCAGACTCCTCCTGGGTGCTGCGAGCTGGGCTGTGCTCTGCTCCTCACCCAGGCATGTTGCTGCAAGAAGGGTCTTGAATGAGGATGGGAGAAATGCTGATGTTCACGGTGCTTGCACCTACAGAAACAAAACCACCCCTGGGAGCTGGGGAGGAGGGTGGATTTGCTGGGAGACGAGCAGCTCGTCGACGGGAGCTGGGTGCTTAAACTCCTCCGGCCTCTCTCCAGCTGGTTGCATAAGTGAATTTAGCAGCACGATGGTGAAGCTGTGGGAAGCCGTTGGGCTGAGCAGCTCTGGCACAGCCACAGACGTGTGAGTGGAGGTGCCTCTCTGGGCAGGAAGGAAGGACGGGCTTGCGGTCGAGCGCTGCGCGTCGAGAGACGTGGGGTGGTTCTGTCCCCAGCCCCGCTCCTGGAGGAACCTTCATCCTCTCCTCCCTGGCTGGGATGCAGGAGCTAGTCCCCATCTCCCCAGCTGGGATGGGACCAGACCCAAATGGGGCGGGTGGG